TGAAGCTGCTTTGTCATGAAACAACAATCGGCAAATGTTTGGCAGTTACGCTTCACCACCTTAATCGTTTAGGCTTACTATTTCACATCGGGCACGAAATGAAAAACTGTTTGTTCCTTCCTTCGAAACAATACTACAACACAGAAATAAACAAAGACACAAGTTTGTCCACCACCTGCAAGCAAATACGTGTTCTGCAAGCAGGAAGAATAGGCAAATAAGTGTTCTACTCATGATTCTCATGGTCGCCGAACGATCGTACTGCTAGAGTCTCCTATAGTTCATTTTAGGACACTCTGACTTCAGTCGACATGCCAAACGTGATGTTACATGGACAGTGTTGCCAATAATTATGGCAAGTGAGTTGATCATTTCGAGGCAAGCCTAAAAATTAATTTGCAAACAATCGGTGCATCTCTCAATCCTGTCATTTGGCATAAATGACAAAAATCTGCAAAGTAACGTACCCTCCGAATTCTATTGAGATCCATTGATGTAAAAAAAATCACCGGAGTTGATTTTTAAATAGCTGAGCTGTTAAAACATCCTCCATTTTCATTTTGTTGCATCCTCAGTGCCTATTTATGAATCTCCCAACAAACAAGGTGGCTTTCAGATTACTGCCCAAACATGATGCGATGGCTTCTATGATCAGCTCAGTACAGTATGTTATGGTCACTTTCAGTGATGTGATCAACGAAGCAGTTTCAGTGTAGCTTTTTTTTTTCTGGGAATGCTAAGCTACTTGCAGCGCGAGCAAGCGAACATCGCCGCGTATTGTGACGGCCGCGGTAACATTGCCCATCACGGGGTGTCAAATCAGCCATTGGTCGTCCACTTTGAGTTTATGGCACGGTTAGGTTGATGGCATCATTGGGGGGAGAGAAGAGCGAACAATTTAAAGGTGTTTAAGAATTGTAAATTCTGTTTCACGTGCTGCGCTATGTTTGGCTCATATGCCCTGAGGAGCCTAGACTACTGAATGGCAGCACAATTGAATATGATGCGCAAGTAGGCGCGTAGAGGACATGGGACAGAGTGCGCGTTTTTTCGCCTCGGTGAAAAATGGTCAAGCACTCGTGTTTCGATCGCCTACCACTTTTTTTTTTTCGCCCAAAAACCGCGAAAACGACATCTTGGCGCACGCTCTGCGTTAATTGTGCCTCTTCTGTCGAAATGTTTCAGTATGTAGCAGTTTTCACATCTAGGCGCAATTGCCGCAGCAACTTCATCACCCCAAATGGAGCTGTTGCCATGACATCAATAAAATCGCCTTGTATCGCGGCGCGGAATTTCAAACTATGATTTCAGCTGTAAGCCTTGTGTAAATGATCACTCAAACGGCTGTAGTGCAGTAAATGGCATCGACAAGACAACCCACCTTTCCCCAACACTCTGGACGCGCCAGACAAGTGTTGGACCGTACGCTGTATGCTTCCATCCATTCATTGAAGGCGTCTTCGTCGGCCAAGTTCGCTCGGAACACGGACTCGTGTTCAGTAGACTGCTGGTCATCTCTTACGGCCTCAAGTGGCTGACGCATCTCCTCCATTGTGCCTCGACATTGTGCAACAACGCGATCGGCACTCGTAGAAACTTGACGGTCACAACCACAGTGGTAGGACGAACTTCGTGGAGCGATCGGCTTCGTGGACTGGGTCAGTGGTCTCACGTCACCGCCAATCTAGAATGTATGCTGTGGCCAGTGATGTTTCGTTCTACGTCGAAGAATTTCCATTCATAGACATGAAAATTCCCTATTTTGGGGATATTTCCCTGTTAATGTTGACGAAAGTTCCAGCATATTTCCCTTCATAACAGTACTAATTTCCGCCCTCAACTACGCAAACACTATAATTACACGTGTATGACGTACTGGCCACTTTTAAAATCATGACTAGCCCATCCGCTGCCGCACAACAAAGCCATGGCATATTCATTCACATAGTGATAGTACACTGCACATTGCGGGCTTCAAGTCCAACACCAATAATGAACTAGAAATCGCTTCGCATATATCAAATCTCAAGGGTTATGATAGCGTGGTGCATGCACCAGAACCGATTACAGCAGATGAAGGCACACTGTGACCGCTAATTATTGGTCGTCATGTGAGAATTTAACCATTCCTGAAATACCCTGCAATATCGCGAAGATTCTTTTTGGCTCAAAATGACAGGCCAAAATTTCCCGATAAAGCAAAAATTTCCTGCATGGGACATCACTGAGTGGCTGCGCCTGTGAGACATACTTCACCGTGTGTAACCGCTTTGAAAGGTGGTTTCACTGCCGCATAGGTTCTCTATGCGGTGAAACCAACCACTTTGGGGATATTCGTACTGCCGTGAAGCGACCTTTCAAGACTGAGTTAGGTTATAGTGCCTGCAACCCTGTTAATTTTAAACAGCGAAGTTAATTGGACATTTGTATTTATAGTGAGATCATATCATATCAACCATCTATATTAAAACACTTGTGGGCTCTTATCGCAATAAGAACAAAAATTTATTGAGAAAACTGAGTTCATGTGTGTTACCAAAAAAAAAATATCAAGCAATGCTTTATACCACACGGCACGAGCAATGAGGTGGCACCTCGCTTCCAATTTTCTTTGTCTATTTGAATAGAACCATCATATGCATCATTTATAAATCTGTTGTACTGTTGTTGGGTCGTCTCTATTATCAAAATGTATATTCTGAATTTTCTTTGTTTTGGAAATTTTAGGTATACAGTGTTTTTATTTCGTAACTTGATAAGACAGATGTTTGGGCTAGTTGGTGATAGGGAATCACATATTTGTACAGCGCAAGACTACGAGTAGTTACGACGTAACTACAGAAGAAGAGACAAGGACAGAAAGAGCACTGACTTCAACTGAAATTTTATTAACGTAAATGCTGGAAATATATACTCATGTCGGAACACCACTGCGCAGTGTATTGCATCACAGCAAGACAATCATCATCTCATTATATGGTTACAACGCCACAGATCAGCACAATTTCACAATCAATTGTGTCAAAGCCAGAAACTCGCTTTCTTTTTTAGTCAGAGCAAGCGAAGGCAGGCTGATACATCGATCACCCAGCATTTGCATTTAATTGGCCTCCATAATTTCTCGTGTTAGCTGCTGACGGAGTTTGGCTACAATAGTGCACTTTTCTAAGTGTTGGAGGGCCCTATTAAGTTTAAAAGCTTGTTATATGGGCCAAGTAGGAAACCTTTAAATACAAATATTTCACTGTGTACAATTTGCAATGTAGTCATATTTAAATCATACATTTAATAGAAACTTGCTTCCACTTTGCTTCAACCCAAGAAAGTGTAGGTCAGAAAACTTGTGGAGCTTGCTCAGACTCAGACTCAATAAACATTTTGGGAGCCGTACTCACTATCACGAAAATTTGTTCAACCGGACTCGCTCGGACTCAGTCTTTTTCGACCACAATGCTACTGCTTTTTAACACCGAAATTTCACGTAATCGATGCTCTTCGTGGCACCTTTTCATATGGTGCCTTCGAATACGAGTTACGAGTGCTCGTAAACCAGTAAGGTCATTTTCTATTGAAAGAGATGACAGCGCAATATATATTTGTCACCAACTTCCTTTAGTTGTCAATGGTAATGGAAAGGTCAAGGCCTCCGACTCTCCGACTGCTACAAACAAACATTTACCCGAGCCCTGCGGCACTGCACACAATGTACCCTGAACGGTTTCCAAGCCCGGACTGCCCCCTGTGTGGTGGCTATGCGGACTTCGAGCATGTATTGTGGGGCTGCGCCTCTGCCGGTCCCCCTTTCACCCAAGAGGAAATGAAGCGACTCATTAAGGCCCAGGACCAGACCTCTCAAATCCTGGCCGTCCAGAGGGCCCGCGCGAGGGCCGTCAGGTTTAACCTGATGGTCCCCGAGTGGGCCTAGCCAGGTGACGCTGAGTTTACTCGCGTCTATTGTGGACCGAATAAAGTTGTTTCACTCACTCACTCACCAACTTCTTTTTAGTTGTCAATGGTAAGGGAAAGGTCAAGGCCTTCCACCATGTAATTCATGCCCCTGATCAATAAATATTCAAATGGTATATAAAAGACACGGCTTTGAAATATGTGAGCATTAACGCGAGTATGAACGCTGATCTAGGTAAAGCAGATAGTTATGCTGAAGACGAGTAGATATGACCATAGCTTGGCAAGCAAAAATCGAACTCAGATTCCCTCAGGAAATGTATCTTGCACTTTGGACTCGCTCGGACTCAGAATCCCCAAAATTTTCCAGAGACGAACTCATTTGGACGCACACTCACAGAAATGTTAAACTGGACTCTCTCATTCTGAGACTAGCGCCTCGATCCGAGTTAGAGTGAGTAGACTCTGAAGTGAGTTCGCTGATATCTAGAAGAAAGAGACATTCCTGGTATAAGAGCAGAAAAGGACGCTGTTAAGAGGCGAGGAAATTACACAAGCGCATGTGATATTCGTACAAGCCTAGTTCTTATTCGTAAAATTCTTAAGGTTATTGGATTATAATAAAAATGCTTGATTTTAAATGATTCAACCAAATTACTACTTTTTCAACCTCACATAACTATTTGCCTATCACTAAACCTTGCAGTTCTTGCTTCTTCTGGCTGTTTCGGACAGGTGCGTGGAAGAAGTTGTAACCGAAGATCACATGCATGTTTTCTGACAGGGCGAACTGTTGGAGGCCTATATTTTTCAATCAAATGTTGAATGGTAGAACTGAAGATTACCTAGCATATACAAGCTATCTTGTCAAGTTCCATGCATATTCGAAATTCGCTGTGAGGAGGGCTCGACATTTGTAATCAATTTCCAGCATTTCTAGTGCAATGAAGCTGTAATGTTCTGGTACAATTTTTTAAAGGGACTGTCTACTGCACAGAACTTTTTGCTCATTGTGGTGAAAATGAGAAGATTGTTAATCTCATCAGCACCAATGAGCATGTTTTTGTACCATATAAAGGGAGTAATTTTGATGTTGAAAATCTGCAAAGCAACTGCTGGCACCACCCAGCAGCGATGTGGTTCTATTTTTCCACACAGAAATGCTCGCAAGTAGGCTGATTTTGCTTAAAAACAAACATGTTTAACTTGAAATTGCATTTCATTCACTTGAGACAACTTTAGACTGCACAAGAGAGTATTTTTGCTTGTTTTATCACGCGTTCAAAGAGGTGCCGTGGCACTGCCGGCGAGACGGTCGCGTGCTTGCCTACGGCAGAGAAAAGCGAGTGCTGCGTCTGGCGCCGGTCTAAAAAAGAAAAAAATGTCTTCGGCAAGATAACTGACTTCAGTAAATTTTCAAACCTTGCCCGTGGGTGCAATGTCATCTAGTAATGTTGCACGAGCCTTTGTGCCTAAAGTGCACAACAGTATTTACCAAAGTTCTACATTGGAGAACATTTTGCCATCACGTTTCGCTTAATCGTGTTGCCCATGCTGGCTCTCATCCCATATGCAAAGCAGAACACCTAAACATAACTGCAAGACAGCAGGGACCTTCTGCTGTTTTGTGAAGGACATTTCATGTTTGTTTTAGTCACATGCACACTTGGCAGGAGTAAAACCACTACAGTTCGTTTCACAATGCTGGCGTACCAGTGTTGCTGGAACAAACTCTTCCCCTCAACTGTGGTGGTTTTTGAGGCTAACTAAACAAAGCTGGAGAAACTTCGGTAATACATTATCTGACAATTTCTACGCTTTATACAACCAGTACGGTGTATGTAGTATTATTAGTGAAGGCCTTGCAAAAACTGCACACGGTTTCAGTTTTAGACTTTCACACCATTGTGATCACGTTCACCAGTCATTGTTCTGGGCGTTCATCACTCCGATGGAAAAAGACTGAATGCAGAATAAAAAAATTCTTTCTCAGGATTTCTACACACTTGCCAGAGAAGCCGTTGGAATGTTGGACACTTCAGACGTATGCTTTTTATTGCGGTACAAAGACAGCAAAGCAGTGGAGGACTATCATAGTCACTTGAAAGTGAAAGACTTACTTGGGGTGCTGCCTTGCATTCTGGCCTTCAGAGCTTGCATTTGAATGACTGAATTACTTATGAGCCCAGACTCGGAGAGTACACTGCACTTGTTTGCGCTTGTTTGATCATGAACCTTTACCAACACGCCCAACTGGCAGTCACCCTACATACTTATCAGCACTAAATAAAGCTAGAATAGATTTATCGTCATTGTACCCTACCCACCAGAAGCTTCAGATGGTCTCGTCTAGCCTCTCGATGCCCATGGGGTGTGTGAAAAATGATGCAAACAGACAGTTTTTATTTCACTTGTGTATTTATTTGCTTATTTGTAAATAATAAAATCAGCAATGTTCATTTTAATGAGTTTGGTACAGTAAGGACATAATAGTAATACACTGTTAATACAAAATAATTGAACTCTCTCTTTTTTTTTCTTGCAAATGGTGCTTTCATTCCTTATTGAGCCACCTTTGCTGCTTCTCAGCGCACAAGCTCCGCCATCCATTGCCACGCACCCCCACAAGGCAGTCCTACATGCCCATGAAGCATAGAAAAATGTGAGCCATGTTAACTCAATACTGTGTGCCCACAGTTGACATGCATCTCTATGTGCAGTACCCTATAGGTGTGCTTCTTGCCGAAAATATAGCTGGTAAGCTTAGTGATCAGAATCCGTCATCTACAATGCACTTTTCATAGTGTTGTATGCATTATGTCTTGGGGTCCTCTTTATTGTGCTGCTTGTGTGCTTCTCTGTGTGTTCAATTTCCTGCCTTCTTTTTGACTTGTACTATAGTTCTGATACATCTAGGATTGCTGACTGTTTCCATTTCCTCATATTTCCTTGAAAAGTTCTGCGAAACTAGAATAAAAATTGACTTGAAAGCAGGTCACAGAACTCGATACTTAAAAACACTTTGGTATCTTTCCTACTTGCAGGCTGGCCACCAAAAACAGTGTGAACCTCGGTGCTAAGGACTTGAATGCCACTGGGTTGTAGTGCCACCAACAGCGAGGAGATTGCATCGCGATGGAAAAAGAGGATGCGCGTGATCACGTGCGATGCAGCAGCAATACTGGAGCGAGGGGGACAGAAAATAAAGAAACCATTGGTTGTGTGAAAACCTGTCGAGTCTTTTTCTCACATGTGCTACACAAGGTATACTAACGTTCTCCTCATTGTGGACATGTACTGTGATAAGGACAGCAGCTGCCTTTGTGTAGTATTTCTGAATGCTTTGTTGTTGTTACTAACACAAAGCTGGCACATAATTTAACCTTTCACTTCACTAAAATTATAAATGATCCTATGCATTGATTTTAAACCTTTGTTAAACTTTGTCTTGTGGCACAGTGAATTCAGGCTACACGGAGCTAAAAGAACGAACATTAGACGCATTCGTGTACTACCCATCCCTGCCATGCTAGCTGAAGTGCTGTGCTGTGCCTCATATTTCCTTGCAAAGTTCTGCGAAACTAGAATAAAAATTGACTTGAAAGCAGGTCACAGAACTCGATACTTAAAAACACTTTGGTATCTTTCCTACTTGCAGGCTGGCCACCAAAAACAGTGTGAACCTCGGTGCTAAGGGCTTGAATGCCACTGGGTTGTAGTGCCACCAACAGCGAGGAGATTGCATCGCGATGGAAAAAGAGGATGCGCGTGATCACGTGCGATGCAGCAGCAATACTGGCGCGAGGGGACAGAAAATAAAGAAACCATTGGTTGTGTGAAAACCTGTCGAGTCTTTTTCTCACATGTGCTACACAAGGTATACTAACGTTCTCCTCATTGTGGACATGTACTGTGATAAGGACAGCAGCTGCCTTTGTGTAGTATTTCTGAATGCTTTGTTGTTGTTACTAACACAAAGCTGGCACATAATTTAACCTTTCACTTCACTAAAATTATAAATGAACTGTAACAATTACATGAGCAAGCCTGAAAATGTTGATACTCCATGTTACTTTGCCTGAAAAATGTTAGTTTTTGAGGCATGAAGTTGGTTTTGTTTATTCCCAAACAAGCGAACTCCACTTCTTAAAGGAGTGCCAACCCCTGAAATCTGACTAAGTTGGCAAAAAAAGGACTAAAGCATCGCCTTTCAGTGCTTGCAAGGAATGCTGCGTGAATGTCAACCGTTTGACACGCTATGTACACAATTGTGTACACCACTTGATTTTTCTATTTGTATTTGTAGGGGCTAAGAAACATCAAAATGTATTGACTTTCTAATCTCTTCATTCAACTTCGTTTTGCAACATACAGTTGCATATTTATTTTTATTTTATTTACTCTCGAAATCCTTACGGCATTAATAGAGAGTACTGGTTACAAAGTAGACAAGGAAAATGCAGCATGAAAAGTTATTAAAGAATAAACTCATCATTATACAATGTTAGCTGTGTAAGGACAACAAACACAATACATAATTCAGCCTGTAAATACAGAGTATTAGTTAGTCTATTTTGGATAATTACAGAATACTGAGTAAAGTTCATTGGAAAACAATTACTAATAGTGACATGTCTTCAGGTAGTTGGTTTCAATGTACCAATGTACAGGATGAAAACACTGGGAGTTGCATAATGCCACGCCAACCTTATGACAAGGTCACTACAATGGGATATGCACTGAGGATTCAGGATTAGTTGGTCATGCAGGTTGGTATGACAGAATAATTCGTGAAATGAAGCCAAATGGGATATTTTCCAAGGGGGTGCAAAGGAAGCAAGGCTTCAGCTGGATTTCATTTAAGTTATACCAGCAATGCAATTACAGTAAGAAGGTTTCAAGCGGATGGAGTTATTCTGTACAAACAAGTGAATCAAGTTGTCGTGGCAAGGGTCTCGCACAGAAGAGGCATATTCAAGTTTGGGGTGTAACAATGTTTCATATAGGAGTAGTTTTAGTGTATATCGTGGTTTTGAGAAGTTGCAATGTATGTAGCCTAACTTGTAATCGGCATTATTAGTAACATATTCAGTGTAAGGTGCCTGAGGTAAGTTCAATGAGATAAGAACACCTAATTATTTATGTGAACTGACCCAATTGTGTAGGACATTTACCTAGTATGTTAGCAAGATGTCTGCATATCTTCTTATGCACATTTGCTTACATTTACGCATGTTTAAATCTATTTGCCATGTGCTGCACCAAGCTGCTACAGTGTTGAGATAAGATTAGAGAAATGAACTGCCATTACTACTACTTTATTGAAAATTACGCAGCAATCTAAAAAAGATTAGGTAAGATCAGAGGAATGAACTGCCATTACCACTAGTTATTTTATTGATTACGCAGTAATCTAAAAAAGATTAATGTTTGAAGAAGTTGATGTCAGGCTCAAGGTTGGCGTCGGGTATCTTTTTTGGCACTGGAGCTGGGTTCATGGCTTGATGGGGGCGCCCAGAACATGAAAGAAACCACCTCCACCAGATGTCGCATAGTTGTGATATGGACTAAGACAGCAGGTGGCATTTCCAAGATTAAATTTTTGTTTGGCCATACTTGTGGCCGAGAAACAAAGTCAAAGACTACAGCAAAGCACAAGTTCGGTTTCTTTTTGAACGCACCTCGTGTTATGCCGCTATTTTTGTTGCAATAGAATATCGAGTGCCTTGAAATGTCAGTTTCACACAAGTACATACAGTTTTTCATAGATGGTATCTGAAAGGGCTAAGAGAGCAGTTCACTTTTATTAATTTTTTGCTTCTCTCAAGAAACCCTTGCACCACTTGGGCCATAGCCCAATCATTCGCAAAGTTTGAGATTAGCTAGTTTGTATGACGAGACCTCAATGTCGAGGTGTTTCATGCATTTCGCACTGTAGTCACTGCCTGCATTGCTCCATTTATGGTGCTGGCAACAGTGCTGTCACCAGGGATATTTTAGGGGGAGAGAAAAACACATGTTCAGTACAATACTTGCAACAACCCTGAATGGCAGCGAAAAACTCGTGCAAAAACACATGCCAGTCAGTCATGAGGCATATGAACATCGATACTTGTATAATGCCTTGTTGAATCGAAACTTCGTATAGAGATTAAATAAGAGGTGTGAGCATAACATTTCACAGCTCTGCATTTGGATATCTTCGCACTTGTCGAAATTTATATTTTGGGGCTTCTGGATTTATAGATGTCCACATCTCTTTGAGAAACATAAACTAGTATGCCAGCAGTCATCAAGCTTCTAATCTTCATAACTGCAAAAATATTAGATATGTATGCAAAGGAATGAGCTATCTTTTATCCTCAATGCCAAAAGACATAATAAACAGGGTGCATTATGCTGTGTCTATAGGTGCTATTATGAATATTTTCATAGCATTACAAAGACTTAGCATCGGTATGTACAGCTGACTGAAATGTGTGGCCTCCACATTTCACCAGCAGCTTCCGTTGGCAAGTATTTTTACATTTTCAAGGCCACTTGTGGCAGCCTCAGTTGGTCTATTTTTGTTCAGAATGCTTTTTCAAAATTAAGAAATATATTGCTTTTTCTTTTTCCAACAGCTTATAAATCTTAGAGCCGGTTTACTATTTCCTATGATTTTAACTTTACATTGCAGTGAAACGCCAAGTTCATAGGCTGAAGAGGTGTATAGGCATTTTATACAACTTGTGCAAGAGCTTTCAGAGCTTCGCAGAAAATAGACATTGCTGGCATTAACCGATATATTTGCCACCATGCCTGTGAAGGCTTTGCAAAACAATTTCCAGAATATATTTGCCTTTGCAGCATTTTCTACCTGGCATATGCTGTGTTACAAGAGGCAGTTGAACTATTTGCTGCATTAAATTTAATATCTGTTTCTAAAGTGTATACTATTCAATTGTGAAGTCTTATTGCATCTTATAATCCTTGCAGAAATCAGGCAGTCATATGCACAGATGTTTATTTGAACAGGCACATGCGTAAGGACTGGCTCTCACCAATACAAGGTTGGATGATGAGGGGTCTAAGCAAGCAATGACCCTGTGATACTTCGAATGGCATTTCACCCCAGAAAAGCATTGTTTTTAAATGATGCAAAAATAAAACAAGGTGTAATTGCAAGATCCTGGGTGACTTTTATGGTCTCATAGTTTCCTAAAAGTAACTCTGGCACTGCAGTCGTTCAGTTGCCATGGGAATGATGGGTACTTCACAGATTTGCCTAGTTTTCGTGTTTGCAGGCTTCCCATGCACTTCTGGCTGTGTTTATAGCTATGCATTTATTTTAAACCTTTGCTAAACTTTGTCTTGTGGCACAGTGAATTCAGGCCACACGGAGCTAAAAGAACGAACATTAGACGCATTCGTGTACTACCCATCCCTGCCATGCTAGCTGAAGTGCTGTGCATTGCAGCTGCCACAGACACTAGCATCAAAGTTCCCTATGTTTCATTCAGAACATGGTCTATGCTTTAGAACATCCTCCAGTGTATCTCTATGCATGGTCTGCACTCTTGCTTTTATTTCAATTTCGTGTGACGACTATGTGGCACTTATGGCCAGGTGTGTTTTTTTTTTTTACTTGCCATCAAGTTTGCATGACTGCTTGTTGGACAAGAGCGGGTTGTAGAAAAAAAGAGAAAAACATCATGTCGGGGTGCTCGGTCGCATATTATAACGTTGCGCGTTCCCCCACAGCTTCACCGCATTGCACATGCATGCTGCACGGAAGCGCCAAAAAAGAAACCACGGGCGCTTTTTTCTGCGGGACGCACCATAAAAAATTTTGTTTTTGTTCAAACCTTACTTGCGCTGATAGGCAATATTTAAGCAGCGGCGTTTTTTTGCCTTAATGATGCCGTATTATCTTGTCCGTGTAATAAACCAAGGAGGCGTTGAATATACGAACGGGCGAGGCCGGAAGCTTTACTTCTTTTAAGCCGCACAATGGCGTTTGGAAGGTCTTCGTGTTGCATGGCATGTTCCCCATTCATAATGCGTAGCTTAGAAGTCAGTGCTGAGCATCAGCTAAAGCTAATTAACGCTGAAGTGACGACCGGGACGTAGCGGAGTGTGATTTTTCCGAAACCCCCTTTCTGACCAGCGAGGAGGCAAGGCTTGCAACAAGTACGTCATCGCGTCGTTTTGTGTTGATTGCATACGAATTAGTAAACATCCAAACTTACATCGTTGATAACAGGCCGGCAAAACTTTGGGCAGAGCGAAGAGTGAAGCGCAGCGGCGATACAAGACGCGCCCACTGCTTGAAACATGAACGATTGCGAGATTGTGAATCGTAGAGGGTTTTCCTTTTCTTGATCACCTCGTTCCAGTGCCCACTTGCGTCACGAACGAGTCGGCTTTCGGTTGCGAGAGGCGACAGGTGGGCGCACACGATTTCTTCGCGAGTATCCAACTCAATTTGGCGCAGGTCCAAAAGCTTTGGCTGGGCTTTCCTTTGCGGGCAAGGCCCCCGCTAGTGCAACAGCCTCCCGGCAACGCTATGCGAAAGTGCGCCGGCCTATCGGCGGTCACTTAAAAAGCGGCGGTCATCGGAACTAAGGTGGTGACGCTACTCAGGTAGGGGTGTCTTCAAATAGGTTTTTACGTTTTTGGAGCTTATATGCAACAAAATTATCGTAAAAAAGTTTTAAAAAGACGCAAACCTAATTACATTCAATCATACGTAAGTGACGCCATCATTTTTACATACAACTTTTTAATACGAGGCATCCTCTAAAACTACAGGTTTTCCCGCTCAATTTAATCCAAGCGCCAGCCAAATTAATCTAGGCGC